TAAAACAAACAAAAAATCACCAGAATATCAACTTTGTACAAGGCAATACATTTATTTATAATTTTAGTCATTTATTAATCATATTAAAATAAATTAAACATGAAAAAAGCCATTTTAAAACAAAGGTTTGGCAGGTTTTTGGTTTTTATAAGCATGCAACTTCTTTATACACACATGTTGCAAGATGTTGCTGGCAAAACACATATTTTCTGTTGCTAAACATTATTTTTTCTATTTCTACCTCGGAATTTAACAGAATTATTTGCGTTCCAAATGCCTCTGTTAAATTCCATACTATGACATTACAAAAATGTTAAATTCCATACTACACGATATCCACTGAGTAGTTTGTACCTTCTCGTTCTTATATGTTCTCTGTTCTGGCCGCGTCGGTATGTAGCGCTCTTGCAAGGTGGGTTGCGCTCTAGTCGTGCCGGTGAATGGCGTTCTAACAACGCTGGTGGGTAGCGCTCTGGTGAAGCCGGTATGTAGCGCTCTTGTAATGCGGAGAGTAGTGCTCTGGCCACGCCGATGTGTAGTGCTCCGGAGAGTAGCGTTCTAGTTGCGTCGAGATGTAGCACTCTCAGCAATGCAGGTGAGGCGCACCGATGAGTGGTACTTTGGTGATGCTGGGAGTAACGTTTTACTCGCGCCGTTGGGCGGCGCTCTGGCGACGTTGATAAGTGGCGCTCTATTCGCGCTAATGACGCCGCTCTGCTGACGGCGGTGAGAAGCGCTCTTGTAGGCGCTGTCGACGTCCCTCTGTTAACGGCGGTGCTAACTGCGGGTGTCGCCCGTACGCGGTTCCAGGAGAGGCTGTGGTGATAGCGTGTAGCGCTGCCATTGGGAAGGTGACGTCCAGCTCGACACTCAAGCCGATGCAGAAGAAATCACCTTACCAGCAGCTGTTGCAGAAGTGGAATCAAGCCCGACACTCGAGCCGGTGCAGATGAAGTCACTTCTTACCAGTAGCCGTTTGTTCACGACCACAGTCTCGTCCTCACTGACTGTTGATCGGCTGTGTTTTATCTTTAATAGGCTTTGCGCTTGATGTTGCGTGGTCGCGCAGCTACATGTTGCTGTGTGATGTTGCGTTGTCATGGCACCGAAGATGCTGTCGGGTGTTGCCATGGCTCGTGTTGCTATGACTTGTGTTGCTGGTAGTTTTGATGGCGGGTATTTGTGTGGGCCAAATTCCTCAGGGATATTTGGTCCTCACAATATAAACATTGGCTTCGGTTGAAAGATTAAATCCTGCTGTTCCACAGGAAGAACTAGTTTTCCCGCTCAAACGGGGTCATTCATGTTTCTATCGTGCTCTTTTTAATTCGCCCCACTTCTTGATATACCCATGGCCCGTTGATGTGTCTAGGACATCTGTGGCGCCTTAAAAATTTTGCGCGTCTTTGTATTCATACTTAAAGGATGGGGCTTTATTGAGCCATCTAAAAAGTTTTGTAGAGCGGTATATAAATATCTTGATTCCAGCGCCATCTACTTTTTGGGTAAGTTTTTTGCTGAAGCACTTCTTATCAAAAAATACCCGTTAACCCAGGTAGTACGATAAACACGAATTCTTTAATATCTCGACTCCAACGCTATCTTTCGGCAGAACTTTTTGCAAAAGTATATTTTATGATGCAGAGTATCCGGCGTCGTTCGGGGTAAACAAATAATAATATAAAACAGAAAGATTTTCAGTTTACCATAAATTAGTTTACAACAGGCCATTCCGTTCAGCTGTCTTTTTGTAATGGGTCCAAGGTTATGGTTCTCTGAACGTACTCCATCTATTGGAGGTTCCAAGACCCTGTCAAACACTCACTCCCTTTCAGTTTACTATAAACGCCACACCCTCTTGTACAAACTCATTTGTATACATATACCATAGATCTTCTCACCAAATTTCAAAGTCATGTGAGTTAGGCGTCCACAGATGTGAGATTTCACGGTTATGGAATGTGCCGTGGCACTTTGTGCAAACTCACTAATATTTACATCGCTATAAGCGCCTACTTTATTTATGCCTTCAAACTAAATTTCGAAGTCATGTGACTTATCGTTCCTAAGTTATAGGTGATTAAAATTTTACGCCTTTAAGATGTTCCACGCCCCCTTTTACAAACTTATTATATATATGAATACTTTACTTTAAACATCTATCATAGATCTGTCTTCACACCAAACTTAAAAGTCGTGTGACTTACGGTTCCGAAGTTATTGCAGATTACAAGTTTCACGCCTGTGGGAGGTGCCACGCCCCCTTGTACAAACTCATTCATATATACCTTACTACAAGCGCCTGTCATGGATATGTCTTCATAACAAATTTCAAACTCATGTGACGTATGATTTCGAAGTTATGGCTGATTAAAAATTTCACACCCATAGGAAGTGCCACGCCTCTTTTACAAAAGTATATCTAATTTACTATAAGCATCTATCATAGATATGTATGTGAACACACCAAATTTCAAAGTCATGTGACTCACGGTTTCGAAGTTATAGCTGATTAAAAATGTCACGCCTATGGAAGGTGCCACGCTCCCTTATCAGAACCCATTTTTTATACCCTAGGTTACGTCCGAGGTCACTCTCTATACACCAGTTAAAGCCCCATGAAAATCCATTCAGTAGTTCCGGAGATTAGTGAGTTCAAACAGACACACAATTTACAGTTTTATTATAGTATATAGAATAGATATATTTAGATATAGATTATGAAAAATCTGAACTTTTTTAATTTAAAATTTTAGTATACTAAAGTACAAATTTAAGGTAGCTGGCACTTACCGTTGATTATAGAAAAATTTTTGTTGACGGTGTTCCGCATTTTTCTCCATATAAAAAATTTTAGAACATACTTTTTATGGAAAAAATTCGTAACACCGTCATAAAAAAATTACAAACATCAACGGCAAGTCCTAGCTACTAAAAATTTTCACCATATTATAGTAAATTTTAATGCACTACAAAAATGCATACATACCATTTTGTAAATATGCTGATTAAAAAGTTAAAAGTTGGTGAAATTTTTGCACAAAGTCTGAAATTGGTACCTATATGTTATTTGTTGAGTAATCATAAACAATAAACATTAAATAAACTAAATAAAAATAGCTAACACTTGCTAAAATCTTACGTCCCATTTTATATTTGGGTTACTGTGTTTCTTCCAAAGAAGGACGGAGCAGGGACTTAATACATTTTTGTTATGGATGGCTTAAATTTAAGTGCGAAGTTTTATTCGCAACACTTAGAAAATAACGCATGAGTATAGAAGAGCACGAATATCGATGTGAAGCAAAACTCTATGGGAAGACAATA